GCCCCCGACCGTAGACCGGCCCATCTGGAGTTTGGACATCAGCACCGACTGGTGGGACCGGGTGGTCCTCGGACAATGGGACGACTACCAGTGGATCCGGAATTTCCGAATGAGAAAGCGGACCTTCCTGCAGCTGTGCACCTGGCTCACCCCCACGCTGCAGAGAGCCACCACCCGGCTGCGGGCACCCAGGCGAGGGGCTCGGTGGAGGTCCAGGGTCACAGGACCATGACACTGCGGTGTACCCAAGAGCAGCTGGCTGTGCCTCACAGCGAGGCATGGGACAGTGTGCTGTTCTCCATGCTGCGCCCTTGGCGGAGCTGCGGGCTCTGGGCTGAGTCCCTGGGGCCCTGGCTGGTTCCAGCTGGCATCCACCCTTTCCCCTGTTCCCGCCAAATGTATGTGAGCAGCACGGTCCCAGGCGTGCCCTGCAGCTGCCTGCCGCGGCCATGTGCCGCTCGGTCACCAGGCTGCACGTGGTTGCACGTGCTGCTTGCTGCCTCATGCTACGCTGTGTGCAGCTCACATGGCCTGAGTGACATGCTCTCCCCCTCCTCCCTCCAGGCACCTGCCCCCCCCGCCCTCCGCCCCCCGCCTGTTGGGAGTGCAAACTGCACGAACTCACCAGTGGGTGTCCCTGCTGCGCCCGTTTCTGCGCCAGCTGCGTGTACAAGGCTGGTGCTGTCCTCTCTCTCCCCTGGTTCAGTGGGACGGTTGATGGGGGGCGCTGGCAGGTGTCCACGGGGACAGCTGGGGCTTGCGGGGCTGGCTGGCCCAGAAAGGAATTCAGACAGTCATAATAGGGGCAGGCATTAGGTCCTGCCCCCTTACCTCAGTGGCCCGCATGTACCCCAGCCGCAGTTCTTTGACCTTCGAGCGCACCTGCTCGCAGTTGCGGCCGGGGTGTCCCTGCTGCGCCAGGTTCTGTGCCAGTTCTTTGTAAAGGTCCGCATTCCGGAGGCGGGACTGCAGGTTGTGGAGACCCTCCTCCTCCTGCCACAGGTCCAGGAGGGTCTCCAGCTCCCTGGGGGTCCAGGATGGGGCCCGGCGTTTACGGCCCCGGGGGGCTTCCTCCCCTGCGGGTGCAGGTGGCTCACCACCCGGAGCTGCCATGCTGGGCTTAGAGGTGGCTGTTGGGCAGCACAGCAGCACGTGGCAGAGCTCAAGCTGCACGCTCTCTGGCAGGCTCCTGCCACGGGTGCCCAGCAGCCTCCGAGCTCTTTAAGAGCTCGGGTTAGCAGGAAGTCCAGGGCTCCTATGGGGTCTCCCGGCGTCCAAACCGCTTTTTTCCATTTCTTCTGCTTTTCCGGAAAAGCTGTCTACACTGGCCCTTTTCCGGAAAAGCTTTTCCGGAATAAGGACTTATGCCCGAGCGGGAACAGCGTAGGGTTTCCGGAATAGTGGCTGATTTTGTACAGTACAGCGTTGTTGCTTTACCGGAAATTCAAGGGGCCAGTGTAGACAGCTCGCAGCTTATTCTGGAAAAGCGGCTGATTTTCTGGAATAAGTGGCCCCGTGTAGACACAGCCGTAGAGTTTTTGCACAGTTTCACCAGTGCTAGGGAACTGGTAAAAGAAAAGCACTGGTTTGTTTGTTCTTTGTGTCAAATCATGTTAACATTTGCAGCACTTCCATGGCCGATGAGAGCAGCACAGAGTGTGCATCTAGACAGCACTCATATCTTGGAATAAGCTGTGCAATTTGCGCTATGCAAATTGCATAGCTTATTTCGAATGCATTTTGAAATAGCTTATTATGAAATTTGGCATTGTCTACACAGCATGAAATTATAAAATAGCGTGCTATTTCAAGACATCCCCATAACCCTTGTGGAACGAGGGTTACAGGGATGTCAAAATAGCGCGTCTGTTAATTTGAAATCTATTGTAAAATAACAGGCATATGTAAAAGATGCAGAATAGCTCTTTTGGGAAACCTCTGGTATCCTGAAATAGCTCTGCTGTCTTGTAGGAAGAGCAGGAGGGCAGTCATGGAGCATCCTGGGTCCCTGCACGGCCTCCTCTCCCTAAATTTTGATCAGTTCCAGCAGTTCAGCATTGCTCTAAGCAGAGGATTGTTTGCTCTTTGGAGCAGCCATTGTCACTTGGTCAGATAAGTGAGCTCGTGCCAATGAAAGAGGCAGAGAAGTTTCAAAGTTTCTCTGGACTTTGTGGGGGTGATGGGGAGAGATGGTTATCTGTTTACCAGGCATCAGCGCGGCAGGCTAGAGTGGTCCACTAGGCATTGTGGGATACATTCTTGTTTACACAGCTTTTAGCTTCCAGAATGTGTCTTCACTTACACATCACTGCAAAAGTATCCTCAATAAGAGCTGCATGCCTTTTATAGAGGTGGATTTCTGTTTGCAGTGAAATTTATGAGTTTCACTGTAAAGTGTAGATGCTACACTTTAGATGACAAGTACAGAAGCTTAGTCTCTATATTTTCTCCATGCAGTATTTTGGAATACCCTATTGATGAAGTGGCAGCTAAACAACAAAATGCAATAAATTGGAGATGATTGTTAGATGAATCCAGTGAGGGCTGATGAGAGGCGGGGATAGAAAGAGTCAATTGAACCACAGACTCAGACTTGGAGCCCTTTCAAAAAAAATCTGTGTAAATAAAGTGAAATGGAAGGGAGTGGGGCCCAGGAAATATAATGTATTGGGGCTTTTTGTCAACAGGCCTGAATGACACCATGAGGCATATATAAAAAAGCAAGGGACTATAAGCAAGTAAAAAGTGCTTTAATCTGCTGGGATTAAGGCCTGACGAGCCTGATTACTATAATGAGAAATGGAGTTAAAGAAAAACAAGACAAAGAAAGATTGAAGGCAGACCCAGGAATTCCTTAATTGACAGCAGTACTTAACAGCTGATCAGAAAGCTGTATTATGTCCAACATTTTGAACTAATGTTATAATTAAAGCTAAGATTTTGTCAGGGATATTTTTTTGTAAAAGCCAAAGACAGGCCATAGACAATGAAGAAAAAATCCTGAAGCTTCTTGAACCCAAAACAAAGATACTTGTACCTGCTACTATTCTTGTGTAGGAGTGCAATACCATTCACCAACATGGCCACTCCTGTTGGTCAGCACAGATGGATTCAGGGCAATTACGCTATAACCATTATGGTGGCTTTCATGTGGAGCATCATGAAGGTGTTATGCTCAAATGAGGTCACATGTTGCAATTGTGGCTGATCCCTGTGCAAGAGGAGGACCCTGGCATTGTGTGCTCTGCTTTGTACACCCAAGAACAGATCAGCTGTTTTTTGGCTTGCAGGACTATATAATAAGCATGTTTATGTACAGAATTGTAATTGTGTTAGCAACATGCACTGAGTCCCACTAACCACTGCACAGCAAGATTCCATAGACCTTATTTGTGGAGAATGGGAAGTAATTGTGACTTTGTAACTTTCAGGTGATTAGGGATTGCTTTCAAATGAGCTAATTAAAAAGGTTGTTTTCAGTCCTCTGCCTGGGGACACAAGTTCATCCCACTGCTTTTTCTAATGACTTTAATGAATTTTGTCTTTAATTTGTCCATCAATGATGCTTCATGCTGACACTAGTTCTCTTCCTTTTTTGAAAAGGAGACTTAATTGCCTTGCCCAGCCCCTATTTGTGCCTCAGAAGGGTGGTGGGGGGAGGAGAGGTTGTGGGTGCTTTGTGCAAGTCACCAACAGTAGAGATGTGGATGTTAATTTTGTCAGATCTGAAACAAGAAGTCCAGGGTCCTGGTCAAAGTAGAGTTTAATGCTGCTACTTGAAGGAATTAATGGTTTGATTCTGTTTGATAATAAAAGCTTACCGGATTTTTAGCTGCATTTTATTCTACTTGTCAAAATGCCTTTGCTGCAGACTTGCTGCCAGATGTCTCTTAAAAGGCTTCATGTGTCACTACAAAAAAATTGTTTCAGGGTCACTTCTTTGCTTTGTTTCCTCTACGACCTATTGATTCCTGCTTCTCCTGGGAGCAGGGCTTTATTGAAGTCTTAGAAATGGGAACACTGCTTCTCCTCTTCAGAATAGGCTTCTGAATTTTAAATCCCTGAAAGACAAGCAACAAGCTCAACTAAAGTAGACAAGCCTCAGGTAGGAGTGGAAACATAGTAATATTCTAATTCAATTTAATTTTCTTTCAATTGTTTTAGGGTCAGTGAAACTCACTAGAGACCAAAGAGCATGCTGCTAATTTATAATGAAGGCCTTTTGACCCTGCCAAAATGGCATAGAGGGTCCTTATCTAGATGCACAAGCTGTACTGGTTTAACTAAATGGCTTTGGCTGGGCTGAGTTAGATCAGCATCTTTCTCCATTTGCGTAGCCATTAGTTTTGCACGGGCAGGTTGAGCCCAGGAGGCCTAATTTACTTGCTATTAGGGCAATTTTATGTTGAGTTCCAAATCTAGAAAGTGCCTACAGCAGTTAGATATATAAATAACCATAGTAGGTACAGGCTATTCATGCTCTGATCCTTCCATGGTGAATTAAAAAAAACACAATATTGTGTGTATACTGTAGCAATTGGAGAAAGGGTTAGAACTCACACTTTCTAAATCCTGATTATGTGAGCATACCTGCCTTTCAATGGCATTTTCCACATGCAAGACATTCTTTTCTATTCTATAGGGCTATTTATACCATTCTCATTATAGTATTAGAGCACATTCTGGTGTTGCATTAAGCAATGTGATTAGCATCTCATCTCATCCTTTGGGGGATATTTGGGGGTGAAGTGTCTAGGGTTTTGGTTTTGTTCAAAATGAACACACTGACATGGATTTATCTTGAAGAAGGCAGGTCAAAGAAGCACGCCTGGTATTGAGAAGAGAAAGGAGCAATGTCTGTGGTAACTTAGTTCTTGTGGGAGTTTATTCAGCAAGCACTGATCTCCCCTCTCCTCCCCCCCCCCCCCCTCCATCTCTCTTGCACTGTCTCCTCCTTTACTGTGGAGGTAGCTAGTTATATTGTGTTACAGAAGAGAGGTTGTTAAAGCATCACCAGGGAGACTGTGGATAAGCAAGCTTCCAGGGGTCTTGAAAATAAGGCCTGAGACCTTGAATTTGACTTGATAATCTATGGGAAGCTAGTGTAGATAGCAAAATACAGCTTTGAGGTAGTCATGATAACCTATGTTGCTGTATTTTGGACTTCTTTAACTAAAATGATTTTAAATTGAGCAGAGTTTACAGTTGTGTGAATGCATCAACACTAGGCATTTAACTAGACCAATTTTCAACTTTCAGTTTACAACTGGAATTTGTTAACACAGATCTGTTAAAACACTGAAACCCC